TACTAGTCTTGCAAGCCCACATGGGACACTTAGGAGAAGCTGATTCTCCAAAATCAGTGCTACACCTAAAACAGACCAGCAGAAAACAAAGTGATATACATCAACAAACACCTCCACAATCTCAACTATGTTGAATGAGAGAAGCTGGAAACGTCATTAGACTCACAGAGAAGGAACCTAATGATACATATAACTAATGACTCTGCTAGAAAGTGGGAGGTTGTATTAATGCCATAATAATTGTGTAACATTTGTCATCACAAAGGAAAGTAATAGAATTTGAGTGACAGAAATGTTTTGGCAGACGATGTTGAGCAACAGAAATTGCTTGTCAGATTAGAAGGGCAATGAGCAAAAAGGTAAAATTGGCTGAAGTTTGACTGTCGTTTATGTTGTGCTGAATAAAGATGACACCTCAGGTTTCTTCACAGTCTGCTTTGGTGGATATGCTAGTAATTAGGTTTGAAGTTCAGGCTGCACACCCATAAATAAACCTCATTTTTCTGCATATCAACATCTGTTCCCATAGCCCAGGAGTTGCAACCCAAATGTTAAGAAGAGCCATTTTGTCCTTCCAACAAAATCAATCCACCTTGGGAGCCACAATATTTTATATCCATTTTGCCATCTTGGCTGTAAATATGTCTCAGTATGTGCTGATGTGCTAGTATAGGCTATAAATATAATATAAACAAATATAAGCTTTAGGTCAGCTTTAGCCGCTTTTCTCGCGTCTCCAGCAGGAAACTTTTCTGCAAAAGTAGAACAGTTTCTTCTAAAATGTTCGAATGAAAAAGTTAATAAAAAGGCAAAGACAAAGATTTAAGATGAACATCGATCATTTGAAAATGAATTACCTTATTTGTGTTTATAATCACTCCAGCTGGTTCCCTGATGTGTTTAATCTGCAGCGAGAAACTGACAAACACTAAAAAGTTGTGAGGCTTTAAGTCACTTCTCATTCGCCAGCTTCTCAAATTTTCCTCTTCCACCTTAAAAGGTGCCTGATATCCAGAACGTAACTGCTGCACCATTTAAGGTGGAACGGGACAATTCAAACGAGAAGCTGGCGAATGAGAAGAGACTTAAAACTTCGCAACATTTTAGTGTTTGTCAGTTTCTCGCTGCAGATTAAACGTATCGGGAAACCAGCTGGAGTGATTATAAACACAAATAAGTCCATTCGTCTCCAAATTATCAATGTTCATCTTAAATCTCTCTCTTTGCCGTTTCGTTAGCTGCTAGCTAGGCAAGACTGTTGTCTGTGTTGCTATGGTGACCAGCAGTCTGCGCTGATCTTCAGGGTTAAAGGGTGAATTAGCAGTTCTACATTAACTCCAGAGTTTAAGATCATTTATTGTTAAACTGTGTTGAACGACCAGCGGAGCTTTATTTTACTGTAAAGGAGGATTATTTTATTATTACCTACAAATCTGATTCTGCTGTGGAGCCACAACAGGGCAGTAAAAGAGCCACAGGTCGCTGATCCCATTCATAGCCGCCAACCACTTCACAAGATTTTACATATTTTTCAGGGAAACAGTGAAGAACGATACAACACCTTTACATTTACAGGTGTATCAGATGCTCTTATCCTGAGCAGCTTACAATGGTAGGAAGGTGAGAGGAGCATTAGGAGTCTAGCTGAAGGACTTGGGTACAGCAGTGGTGTTCTGGCTGGTACTTGATGCCACCTTTATTTTTATGGGCATATTTGCTATACAGAAAATTGTCTCTTGCTTGTTCAGACATTTAAAGAGTGATCCTATGGTACTCGTTCTCTCAGAGATACAGCGTCATTTGCTTGTGGAAAAACTGGAAAACTTTAAGCACTTTCTCATTTCTTATTTCATTTTGTAGCTTCTGCTTTTATTATTGAGACCAATCCAGTTTACAGAATTCATGTCTGTTTGTTTCCTTTTAGCTACCCAACCAGAATACCTGGTTTAGAGGGAGAGCACCATCTGCTGGTCAACAGTTGATCGCTTGGATAGAGGCTGCTCACCATCAACTGGAGACATGTCTTGTGAGTATTTCCACCAAACATAGAGTTGTATGCAAAAGTTTGGGCACCCCTGGTGAAATTACATCTGTGAAAATAAGTGATCACATTTTAATGCATTTCTGCTGTTTGTTGGATGGATTTAACCTGAACTGCTAAATATGTTAAACAGGAGTCATATTCTATTTACATAAATAAAAATCTCCCCTGTAGAGGATGTGTTGACTTATTTTCACATGTTTTTTGACTTTTGTGTATGACTGTATAACAGAAAGCAGGTTCCTTCTGTATGAATGAGCTAAATTCTGTGTGTCCTCCTGCAGACGGAGAGGATTTGCAAAATATTTTCCTGGACATCTGTCTTGCTGAGCATCATCCTGATTTGCAGCCTCACCACTCCGGAGTACATTCATGCCGTCTGGTTAATTCCCTGGATGCTTCTTCTCTTGGTTGTTCTCCTGGAGAGACATAGCTGTGGAAAGTGGACTCCCCTGATTATTGTTATTTTGAACATAGTTGTGATTCTACTCTCCTTCACTGTCACTAATAACCAAAAAAGCCAGGATCCCCCACCTTTAAACCAGTCTAGTGTTTAAAAGAGATAAACTGACAGTATTGCTTTGTTTGCTGATGACCTGCAACTGAAAACGTCATGAAAATATAAATGTGTAGTAAAGAAAAACAATGCATGATTAATAATCAATATCCATTCACTGACGTTAACATGCTAATGCACCAATTAATATATAAGCAGTTACTGTATGAAGATGGAAGGTAAACTAGACTGTGTGCTGGATCAGTTGTACCTGGATTTGTATTGAAATATGTGAAATAAACTGCATTTAAATCTGTGTTTTATTTGGTTGTTTTATGTTAAAGAAGGCTGGTAGATACTGTGTGGTTTGAGTTTGAGTTCTCCCTACAATAAACTATGCATTACAAATATTTTCATATGTAAATATATGTATATAATTTAACATTGTTTTTTGTTTTTATTGTTTTTTGTTTTTATTGTGGATTTTTGAAGTTAAAAAAGTAAGTAAACACAGCCTCAGCAGCAAACTAACTTTAAAAATGTTATTTTTATGCAAAAAGATGAATGGATGGTTGCTTAATATTTTAAAATAGTTTTTTTTAAATAGATTAGCAAGCCTAGGACTGCCAGGCTGCACGCTTAATCCTCTGCAAATTTTGGTAAATAATTCCCAGAACAAAACAGCCACTATAAAAGTGAGGGGGACACAGTTGTCAGTACATGAGACCCCCGAAACCCCACACTTGTAGGTTCAGTATTACTACTAAAAAGCCTGTAGCAGTGCATTTTTACAGTCAAGCCAATTTGCATTCTTGGGGCAGGAATATACAAAGACACCTCACAGGGAAGTTAACCAGCTCACATAGTCCAAAATTAGAATTTCAAAGTTTTTAGCTGTCTGCTCCCACAGACACCTGCTCCCAGGATACAAACTATAAAGAAGCTGACCCATCACTGACCAGCGGTGGGCTTGTTGAATGCTGTTGCAACGAACGGTCAAAGTGAGGAGAAATGTGTTTTTGTATTGCCTTTTCTCTTTAAGGTCAACTATACACTACACTTCTTACATTACATGTCTATTGTCTCTGGATGACTAATTAAATTACATGTTGGCAAACATAGTCAAACACGTTTTGCCCTTCTGCCCCATCTGTAGATATTTTATATTATGTATATTTTATACATAATTTCAATTATTGTATGTAAATAATTGAACATTATGGTGTATGGGTGATGGTGTAGGCTGGAGGCGTTCTGTAGGTTACTGTAGCTTTAAGTTTTCCAGGGGGCTGTGGAGTCGCTAATCTGCAGTCCAGAAGGCTTCATCTCTTCCTTAGCATCCCTTGATTTGCTGCTCTTCCTGACTTTGACAGAGATTTGGATCACCTCTCAGAAATCCACAACTCCAACAGCCCTATCCTCTGCCTTTAACCTCTTCCTTTCTCCAAGATAGACTGGCAGGAGTGGTGGCACAGGTTTGCTTTTGCCTAGAAACTGGCATTTTACTCCACTTTCATTATCTCATCTTTCAGTTTCCTCTGTTGAGTACCGTACTGTTACTGTATCTGTCCCCATTTAACCTCATATCATTGTCATTCATCACCCTCTTTGTCCTCCAGGCAACTTCAGAGATGAGAGATGAGTCTCTTCCCCATCGATGGAACCCACTCATTCTCCTTGGTGACTTCAGCCATCCATCAGACAAGCTGCAGTCATCCTGCGTTTTACCACTGCCATCATCCTTTGACCTCATCTTCAACCAGTTTCCTCACAGAGCAGGCGAAGCTCTGGACCTGATATTCAGCAGACCTACCCCTGTGACGGATATCACAGTAACCCCCTTTTGCTGCTCAGATCATCACTTTCTTTCTTTCAGACTGCTCTTCCTGTCCTCGTAACCCCTCATGTTCCTCCTTCAGTCCGTGTAACCGGCACTCCCTCGTCTCTTGCTTCAACTATCCTACCTACCCCTCCCCACCCTGACTCATTTTCTTCTCTCTCCCTGGATACAGCTACAGATACTGTCCTGTCTCCTCTCTCATCTGGAGTAAACCCTCTGTGTCTTCTCTCCTCCAGCAAGATCCTCCTAACATGCCCCTTGACTGTAAGCGACCCTGTGCAGCAACTGGAGAAAGCTAAGAAAATCTGACAGAAGGTGGAGTAAATCTTAGCTTGACTCAGATCTTCTCCTCCTACCAATCCCTCCTTTCTAAGTTCCCACTTGAAGTAACTGCTGCAAAGTCATCTTACTACAGAGGAAAACTGGAAGCATCAGCATCTGATCCACACAAGCTCTTCAACATTTTCTCCTCAACCCTCCTTCTTCCCCACCACCCTCTTCTCTTCCCATCACCTCATTTACTTCAGTTAAGAGCCTTTCTCACGGGTTTTCCTCTCTGCACTTAAGTCTGCCTCTCTGCCATCCCACAACACTTAATGCTGTAAATGTGAGTGTTTTTTTTTTTTTTGTCATTTTTTTATTCCCGAATCGCCCATCAGCTGGGCTGTGAAAGTGAAAGTCCATCCTGTAGTTTTCCATTCATTTCCTGTCCTGCATGAATCACTGCAGTCGTCTTAACTGGGCTTGGACATCACTTCAGAATGACTCGAGGTACGAAGACTCAATTATTATTTTTTTAAATGAAATTCTAGTCTTTTAACACTGAATCTGGCTGTTATTGTTCAGTTGATGTTTAGGCTCGGACTGTTTGCTCTGTGTGACTCAGCAGATTGCAGCACAGACAGAGCTCCTTTAATCCTTCACACAATAATACAGTTGCTTTGTATTTAACTTAATTGATAATTAATTCTGAACCTATAAATATGTATTTCCGGTGACGTGTAATATACTGTACTTCTATAGAGAACCCACTTAAGTGTTTTTTTTTTTTGTTGCAAATTTTAGTGCATGTTTATTTGTAAACATTTGTAAACATAATAAAATGCAGCATAACGTTTGCACACAACTTCATTGCTGTTCAAAGAAAAACATGTATCTCCAAAATAGTAACTTTACAGGAGAAGGTAAAAACTCTCTTACCCTGCAGTGTAAGTTAATGCAAAGAGATTTTATTCCAAGTGATTTTGGAGCATTTCTATTGGTCCATTCACCATGAAATTTTCACACAACATAAAGGACAGCTGGTGTGTTGAAAGGATGTAGAAAAACAAAAATCGACAAAAATTGAGATACTTGGTTTTCTTTGGACAGCAATGATATATAAATATAAAATCTAATATCTATTGCTTCCAGACACTGTCAGAGCCTTTGTTGTGATCTGCGGGAAAACACTGAATTCCCACAAGCCCTTTCTGGATCATCTCACACTTTCACCCAACTTCCGTGAAGTGACCTCTGTGGACAACAGTGATGTCATTATTGCCTTTGCCCCAGTTGTGTCTCGAGCTGGAACTGACATTGAAGCAGCTCTTCAGAAGATTCAAGGTAAAAATATAAACTATATTCTAGCCGTCCACTTTATCAGAACGATTATTTATTTCTCTCTGTTATTCTTATTTCTCTCTCTCCCAGCGATCTCAGCTACCCAGCCTGTTGTTCTAGTGGTGCTCCACCACACAACTCAGCAGTATCCAGTCGTCCCGAACAGCAGCCGGAGTGTTAACAGGAGTGATGTGTTCACTGTGGACTGCCTGTTTAATGAAGACCGAGGGCTGCTGAGCTGTCAGCACAACGACCAGGCACTGAAAGCAGTGAAAGAGCATCTGGGACTAGAGGATGGACATCCTCCCGAGGTCAGTCAACTACAAAGGCCTGACATGATCATGAAATTTTATCTGATAAAATAAAAAAATAGTGATAAACAATTGTGTCTAAATATTGAAGTAGAAGCCAAAAGTGGTGATTACTGCCTCACTGACTCAGAGAAACAGTGTCATTAGCTTTTAAAAATTCCTTCTGTCTAGATAAGCTAAACTTTCTTCGTCCTTCTGCAGACGCAGTGGGCTTGGCAGCTACTTGTCATGACATCTGTCTTGCTGAGCATCATCCTGATTTACTTCATCACTCCAAAGTACATGCCATCTGGTTTATTCCCTGGATGCTTCTTCTCCTGGTGATTCTCCTAGAGATGCATGGCTATGGAAAGTGGACTCCCCTGATAGTGATTCTACTCTCCCTCACTGTCACTAATAACCAAAAAAGCCAGGATCCCCCACTTTAAACCAGTCTAGAGTTTAAAAGAGATAAACTGACAGTATTGCTTTGTTTGCTGAAGACCTCACATAACCCTGCAACTGAAAACGTCATGAAAATATAAATGTGTAGTAAAGAAAAACAATGCATGATTAATAATCAATATCCATTCACTGACATTAACATGCTAATGCACCAATTAATATATAAGCAGTTACTGTATGAAGATGGAAGGTAAACTAGACTGTGTGCTGGATCAGTGGTACCTGGATTTGTATTGAAATATGTGAAATAAACTGCATTTAAATCTGTGTTTTATTTGGTTGTTTTATGTTAAAGAAGGCTGGTAGATACTGTGTGGTTTGAGTTTGAGTTCTCCCTACAATAAACTATGCATTACAAATATTTTCATATGTAAATATATGTATATAATTTAACATTATGTTTTTGTTTTTATTGTGGATTTTTGAAGTTAAAAAAGTAAGTAAACACAGCCTCAGCAGCAAGCTAACTTTAAAAATGTTATTTTTATGCCAAAAGATGAATGGATGGTTGCTTAATATTTTAAAATAGTTTTTTTTAAATAGATTAGCAAGCCTAGGACTGCCAGGCTGCACGCTTAATCCTCTGCAAATTTTGGTAAATAATTCCCAGAACAAAACAGCCACTATAAAAGTGAGGGGGACACAGTTGTCAGTACATGAGACCCCCGAAACCCCACACTTGTAGGTTCAGTATTACTACTAAAAAGCCTGTAGCAGTGCATTTTTACAGTCAAGCCAATTTGCATTCTTGGGGCAGGAATATACAAAGACACCTCACAGGGAAGTTAACCAGCTCACATAGTCCAAAATTAGAATTTCAAAGTTTTTAGCTGTCTGCTCCCACAGACACCTGCTCCCAGGATACAAACTATAAAGAAGCTGACCCATCACTGACCAGCGGTGGGCTTGTTGAATGCTGTTGCAAAGAACTGTCAAAGTGAGGAGAAATGTGTTTTTGTATTGCCTTTTCTCTTTAAGGTCAACTATACAGTACACTTCTTACATTACATGTCTATTGTCTCTGGATGACTAATTAAATTACATGTTGGCAAACATAGTCAAACACGTTTTGCTCTTCTGCCCCATCTGTAGATATTTTATATTATGTATATTTTATACATAATTGACATTAATGTATGTAAATAATTGAACATTATGGTGTATGGGTGATGGTGTAGGCTGGAGGCGTTCTGTAGGTTACTGTAGCTTTAAGTTTTCCAGGGGGCTGTGGAGTCGCTAATCTGCAGTCCAGAAGGCTTCATCTCTTCCTTAGCACTCCTCCATTTGCTGCACTTCCTGACTTTGACAGAGATTTGGATCACCTCTCAGAAATCAGCAACTCCAACAGCCCTATCCTCTGCCTTTAACCTCTTCCTTTCTCCAAGATAGACTGGCAGGAGTGGTGGCACAGGTTTGCTTTTGCCTAGAAACTGGCATTTTACTCCACTTTCATTATCTCATCTTTCAGTTTCCTCTGTTGAGTACCGTACTGTTACTGTATCTGTCCCCATTTAACCTCATATCATTGTCATTCATCACCCTCTTTGTCCTCCAGGCAACTTCAGAGATGAGAGATGAGTCTCTTCCCCATCGATGGAACCCACTCATTCTCCTTGGTGACTTCAGCCATCCATCAGACAAGCTGCAGTCATCCTGCGTTTTACCACTGCCATCATCCTTTGACCTCATCTTCAACCAGTTTCCTCACAGAGCAGGCGAAGCTCTGGACCTGATATTCAGCAGACCTACCCCTGTGACGGATATCACAGTAACCCCCTTTTGCTGCTCAGATCATCACTTTCTTTCTTTCAGACTGCTCTTCCTGTCCTCGTAACCCCTCATGTTCCTCCTTCAGTCCGTGTAACCAGCACTCCCTGGTCTCTTGCTTCAACTATCCTACCTACCCCTCCCCACCCTGACTCATTTTCTTCTCTCTCCCTGGATACAGCTACAGATACTGTCCTGTCTCCTCTCTCATCTGGAGTAAACCCTCTGTGTCCTCTCTCCTCCCTCCAAGTAGGGTGTTGTTACTTTCATTGGTTAACAGAGAACAAAGAAGTTACACTTCATTGGTTACACCTAAATGTGATGTGAATAAACATGAAAATGTTAACATACATGCATAATTAATGATAAGGAAATACGTCCATATATGGTCAAACAGTCTTCTTACACCTGGTCACTTTGAGAAGGAGCCAGTCTGAACCCTTAAGACTCCTGAACAATGATTCACTGTAACTGCTGTTGGCTCACTGGGCCTCAGAAAAACAGAAAACATGAAATAAGATTTGGGCAAAATGGGAGGAGCAGGTGATTTGTTACCTTCTTTGCACCCAAAGAACAGTGATAGTCCACCCTAAATTATATGAGTAACATATACATCACCTAATGCAGGTACCATGAAGATGTAAGTGGTGTGACTGGCTATATTAATTCCACATATCATGAGTGGAATTTCTGGATACAGCTCTCATAGATAAAGTCTTTGGTTACAAAACCACAACACATTCTCTGAGTGACAACAAAGCATGTTTGTGTCTTACTCTGGATAAGAGCGTCTGCTTAATGCTGTAAAGGTAAACGCAAAGGTTTTTTTTTTTTAATTCCCAAAATGCCCATCAGCAGGGCTGTGAAAGTGAAAGTGAACGATCATCCAGTAGTTTTCCATTCATTTTCTGTGCTGCCTGAATCACTGCAGTCGTCTTGGACTGGGCTTGGACATCACTTCAGAATGACTCGAGGTATGAAGACTCAATTATTTTTATTTTTAATGAAATTAAACACTATAAAAATGTAGAGTTAACTAAAATTGAATTCTGGCTGTTTTTGTGCAGTTGATGTTTAGACTCTGTTTGCTCTGTGTGACTCAGCAGATTGCAGCATATAAATACGTTCACACAGACACACATGGATCCTTTAATCCTTTAATTTCTAGTGATGTGTAATGTACTGTACTAACGAAACCATTAAAGAGATACAGTCACATGTAATAGTTTGGGTGCCCCTGATCAAATGACATGTTTATTTGATTTTATAAGTGAAACTCAGTTTTCACATCGTCTACAGAGAACATACTGTAATATAGATTTTGGGGCTAATTTTACCGCACGAGTTCTCTCTCTCTCTCTCTCTGTGTCTCTCTCTCTCTCTCTCTCTCTTTTATATATATATATATATATATATTATGGCAAGCCAAACAGGAAATATTTAATGAACATTGGGGAATGAACTTTGATATATATTGAATGAAAGTCACTGTTGAAGGGTTGAGGATGGCCAAGAGGAACTGTACATCAATAAATGGGCATTAACAAACTCCAGGTGGAGCTTAAAGGAAGGGAATTCTGATAAAGTGACCAGTATCTATACACAGTGATCCCGTGGACAGAGTGACCTGAGAGTGGTGGATATATGATGTGAAGACACAGATGGGTGGAGTTTCAATATATACATAATTTGACATGGTGCAGAAGAAGAGTCAGATGAGGCCATAACTTCTGTTTGAAAAATGCTCTTTAATTGAGAGCCAGGGGAAACAATGCCACTTGAAAAGCAACTGAAAATTGAGGTAGGTCACTCCTAGCCCTACTCTTTCTTCTGATGGTCACCAAACACAAACACACTCTCCCTAACTCTGAGCTGGACACAAAATAACAGAGTAAACACATACACACACTGTAACTGAGGAACAACAACATAGCAACATTAAATAACAATGTAAACAGTCTGTTTGTGCAAGGCTACAACACACACAACCCCAAAAGTCCCTCTCTGTCTAAACAAAACATTTTATGAATTATATTATTCATTTTTTCATCTCAATGTTCGATCCATGTACATCAAGGTTCATTCAATATATATAAATGTTCATTCCATATATCTCAGTAGAACAAAGATTGATATATATGGAACGAACATTGATATATATGGAATGAACTTTGATATATATATACAATGAACTTTGATATATATACAATGAACTTTGATATATATAGAATGAACTTTGATATATATGGAATGAACACTGATATATATGGAATGAACTTTGATATATATATATACAATGAACTTTGTTATATATTGAATGAACATTGATATATATGGAATGAGCATTGATATATATGGAATGAACTTTGATATATATACAATGAACTTTGATATATATAGAATGAACATTGATATATATGGAATGAACTTTGATATATATACAATGAACTTTGATATATATAGAATGAACATTGATATATATGGAATGAACTTTGATATATATATACAATGAACTTTGTTATATATTGAATGAACATTGATATATATGGAATGAACTTTGATATATATGGAATGAACTTTGATATATATTGAATGAACTTTGATATATATAGAATGAACATTAATATATATGGAATGAACTTTGATATATATTGATTGAACATTGATATATATGGAATGAACTTTGATATATATATATATATATATACAATGAACTTTGTTATATATTGAATGAACATTGATATATATGGATCAAACATTGAGATGAAAAAAATTAATAATATAATTCATAAAATGTTTTGTTTAGACAGAGAGGGACTTTTGGGGTTGTGTGTACACCCCAAACAGACTGTTTACATTGTTATTTAATGTTGCTATGTTGTTGTTCCTCAGTTACAGTGTGTGTATGTGTTTACTCTGTTATTTTGTGTCCAGCTCAGAGTTAGGGAGAGTGTGTTTGTGTTTGGTGACCATCAGAAGAAAGAGTAGGGCTAGGAGTGACCTACCTCAATTTTCAGTTGCTTTTCAAGTGGCATTGTTTCCCCTGGCTCTCAATTAAAGAGCATTTTTCAAACAGAAGTTATGGCCTCATCTGACTCTTCTTCTGCACCATGTCAAATTATGTATATATTGAAACTCCACCCATCTGTTTCTTCACATCATATATCCGCCACTCTCAGGTCACTCTGTCCACGGGATCAATGTGTATAGATACAGGTCACTTTATCAGAATTCCCTTCCTTTAAGCTCCACCTGGAGTTTGTTAATGCCCATTTATTGATGTACAGTTTCTCTTGGCCATCCTCAACCCTTCAACAGCGACTTTCATTCAATATATATCAATGTTCATTCCATATACATCAAAGTTCATTATATATATATATATATCAATGTTCATTAAATATTTCCTATTTGGCTTGCCATAATATATATATATATATATATATATATATATATATATATATATATATATATATATATATATATATACACCTATAATAAATTGTTTTGTATTGTTTCCAGACACTGTCAGAGCCTTTGTTGTGATCTGTGGGAAAACGCTGAATTCCCACAAAGCCTTTCTGCATCATCTCACACTTTCACCCAACTTCCGTGAAGTGACCTCTGTGAATGACAGTGATGTCATCATTGCTTTTGCCCCAGTTGTGTCTCGAGCTGGAACTGACATTGAAGCAGCTCTTCAGAAGATTCAAGGTAAAATATAAACTATATTCTAGCCGTCCACTTTATCAGAACGATTATTTATTTCTCTCTGTTATTCTTATTTCTCTCTCTCCCAGCAATCTCAGCTACCCAGCGTGTTGTTCTAGTGGTGCTCCACCACACAACTGAGCGGGATTCAGTCGTCCCGAACAGCAGCCGGAGTGTTAACAGGAGTGATGTGTTCACTGTGGACTGCCTGTTTAATGAAGACCGAGGGCTGCTGAGCTGTCAGCACAACGACCAGGCACTGAAAGCAGTGAAAGAGCATCTGGGACTGGAGGATGGACGTCCTCCCAAGGTCAGTCAACTACAAAGGCCTGACATGATCATGAAATTTTATCTGATAAAATAAATTATAGTGATAAACAATTTCATTGTCTTTTTTTTGGTTCATTGTGTGTAAATATTAAAGTGGAAGCAAAAAGTGGTGATTACTGCCTCGCTGACTCAGAGAAACAGTGTCATTAGCTTCTAAAAATATGTTCTGTCTAAATAAGTTAAACTCTCTTTGTCCTTCTGCAGAAGCAGTGGGCTTGGCAGCTACTTTTCTGGACATCTGCCTTGCTGAGCATCATCCTGATTTACTGCCTCACCACTCCGAAGTACATTCACGCCGTCTGGTTTATTCCCTGGATGCTTCTTCTCCTGGTGATTCTCCTAGAGAGGCGTGGCTATGGAAAGTGGACTCCTCTGATTATTGTTATTGTGAACATGGCAGTGATTCTACTCTCCCTCACTGTCACTAAGAACCTAGGAACCACCACTATCCCCCACCTCTTAACCAGTCTGTTTTCTAAAAAGAGAGAAAATAACACTCTTGCTTTGCTTACTGATGACCCCATATAACCCCGAGACTGAAAACATCATGAAAACATAAATGTGTAGCAAAGAAAAACAATGCATGATTAATAATCAATATCCATTCACTGACATCAACATGCTAACACAACAATTAATATATATAAGCAGTTGCTGTATGAAGATAAAAGGTAAATTAGACTGTGTGCTGGATCAGTTGTACCTGGATTTGTGTTGAAATATATGAAAATAAACATTACTGTAAATAAACCTGTCTGTTGTTCAGTATTTTTATATGAACAGTTAAAGAGGCAGATGCTGTGTAGTCTGAGTTCTCCTTACAGTAAACTATGCATACATTAGGGCTCTTGGATGACTCATAAATGTATGTACATAGTTTAACATTATGTTGTATGGGTGATGGTGTAGGCTGCATTCTGTAGGTAGGCGTAGCCTTAAATACAGGAGTCTGATGGGAAACTGTGAATACATACACCCTTAATCAAGGGTGGGGTAGGACGGGATGGAGTGGTGCGAACCGGCTTTTTAAAAAGGAGTGTTGTATACATTTGGAAATAAGTAAGTAATGAAGGGGTTTTTATCTAATGGAGACTAAATGGAACATCAAGATTGATAAGAAGGGTGGGGGGACATCGTAGCACCCCAGATAAAGGGTATAAAAAGCACAGTTCGGACACTGTATTTCGCAGTCTGGCCATTCGACGCTCAAATAAAGAAGAAGCTGCTTCCCTCTCGGCATCTAAACTCTTTTTTCCTTTTTGATACTTCTTGAGAACTTAGAGTTAAAACAGTTATTGGTGTCAGTATTAAACCTTTAATATTATGTCCGAGGCCTGGGGCTGAAGGGGATAGCTCTTGGTCCCGACAAGTCCCATTCACGTTTCCCAAAAATTTCCAGCAGGATTTTTCATCATTATTTGTTTATTACTGTGGATTTTTGAAGAGAAAAGAAGTAAAAGTAAACACAACCTCAGCAGAAAACTACTTTTAAAAATGTGATTTTCCTGTGAAAAGAATAATTCACAGTTACTTCATATTTTTAAAATATTCCAGTAGTCCAGTACCTGCAGTAGCTGCTGTTTTTATTCTGTTGTTGGTTGGTTTGAAGCTGATTGGTTGACTGCTGGCAGGTGCAGCCAGTTTATGCAGAACATTAATGTATGGCTTTACTGCATAAAGTAGAACATGCATACAAGCATTCATGTGTGTCTCTGTCTATTTGCATCATATTCATTACATGTTTCGATACAAGAGTGTATTTTCGAATGCCTGCATTTTCTGACCATCATCTTTGAAATGAGAGAAAGGAGACAGTGATGAAATTTGTGGTTAGATGTGGAAATCCCTGAAAATATGGGTCCTCACCGTGATCCTGCCATCTCTTTCAAGAACTCCTTAATTGTCCCGTCTGAAGATGCAGAAAGTCTTGGTGTCATTCTGGATGTCCAGTTATCTTTCTGAGCTCATACCGCGAATCAGACTTGGTTTCTCCTCTACAATATCTGGAGGATTTGACTCTTTCTCTCCAGGGAGGTCAGCCAGGTGCTCGTTCAGCCTACTGTCATCTCAAGGCTTGACTACTGCAACTTGCTCCTGGCTGGGCTTCCTACATGGCCAATCTGGCCCCTGCAACTGATCCAGAATGCAGCAGCTCGGCTCGTCTTCAATCTTCCTGAGTTCAGTCAAGTCACTCCACTGCTGCGCTCCCTGCGCTCCCTTCACTGGCTTCCCAAAAATGGACCAGCCCCTCCCTCCCTGATGGCAATGGTCAAAACACAATCTGTACCTCAAGCTGCTCGAGCTTCAAGTACGGCTCAGCTTGACCTGCCATCCCTCAAGATGCATGGAAGACAAGCATCAAGACTCTCCTCTGTCTTGGCACCCTGGTGGGAGAATGAACTTCCACTGGCTGTCTGGAAAGCAGACTCTCTAGTGGTCATCAAACGCAGACTGAAGACCACCTCTTTCTGAAGCACTTAAACAAGCACTAGTCTAAGTACTTATTGCACTTATACTGTGTTTCACTCTGTATATTTCTTTCTAGGTATCTGCACTGGCTTTTGTTTCTGGAAGTATTTGAGCTCAAGGGTAGAATATTGTGGAAGAAACTTCTGAATAAATCAGAAAACAGTAAAATCTCAGTCACAATTAATGCTCAAAAGTAATATACTTATTGACAACTCTCAGCCAGGGAGAATCTCCTGGTGAATACCCAGAGATCTCCAAAGACAGACCATAGTTACAAAGGTTAAATATTCCCCAAGTAGGGTGTTGTTACTTTTCATTGGTTAACAGAGAACAAAGAAGCTACACTTCATTGGTTACACTTAATTGTGATGTGAATAAACATGATAATAACATGCATGCATAATTAATGATAAGGAAATACGCCCATATATGGTCAAATAGCCTTCTTACACCTGGTCACTTCGAGAAGGAGCCAGTCTGAACCCTTAAAACCCCTGAACAATGATTCACTGTAACTGCTGTCCGCTAGCTGGGCCTCAGAAAAAAGAAAACATGAAATAAGCAGGTGCAGGAGCAGGTGATTTGTTACCTTCACTGCACCCAAAGAACAGTGATTCCACATACTCTCAGTACCGTGTACTGCCTGTGTTCTGTTTTGTATTTATTGTAAGTCTTTCATATTTATTTATTGTACTGTATTGTCTGCACTGTGTTCATTGTATTGTCTCGCACTTGTGTTCCTGTGTTGGTCCTGGAGGAATGTTGTTTCATTTCACTCTGTACTTGTATACAGCTGAAATGACAATAAGCCTGACTGACTTGACTTGACTTGATAGTCCACCCTAAATTTGGAAAGCCACCTTCCAAGATGGTGCCGAGTATGGATGCCGTGTTGCGAGCTCCCTTCACTTCTGTTTGTTTTTTGTTAATTTTATTTTTATTTGTAACAACTTTTGCACCAAATGTTGCCAGCACTTTCGTTTACAACAGACAAACACTTTTGGAAATCAGATGAATGATCACTCACCGAAAACTGGACTTTGAGTTCCTGAATGCAGATCCATTGTTTGGGAACCTCAAAGAGGCTGAGAATTGGGTGGAACTGGAAACCCTCTGTGTCCTCTCTCCTCCAGCAAGATCCTCCTTACATGCCCCTTGACTGAAAGCGACCCTGTGCAGCAACTGGAGAAAGCTAAGAAAATCTGACAGAAGATGGAGTAAAAGAGGGAGGAGCTCCTGACGAATACCCAGAGATCTTCCAAAGACAGACCATAGTTACAAAGGTTAAATATTCCCCAAGTAGGGCTGTTGTTACTTTTCATTGGTTAACAGAGAACAAAGAAGTTACACCTCATTGGTTACACCTAAATGTGATGTGAATAAACATGAAAATGTTAACATACATGCATAATTAATGACAAGGAAATACGCCCATATATGGTCAAATAGTCTTCTTACACCTGGTCACTTTGAGAAGGAGCCAGTCTGAACCCTTAAGACTCCTCAACAATGATTCACTGTAACTGCTGTTGGCTCTCTGGGCCTCAGAAAAACAGAAAACATGAAATAAGATCTGGGCAAAATGGGAGGAGCAGGTGATTTGTTACCTTCTTTGCACCCAAAGAACAGTGATAGTCCACCCTAAATTATATGAGTAACATATACATCACCTAATACAGGTACCATGAAGATGTAAGTGGTGTGACTGGCTATATTAATTCCACATATCATGAGTGGAATTTCTGGATACAGATCTCATAGATAAAGTCTTTGGTTACAAAATCACAACACATTCTCTGAGTGACAACAAAGCGCATTTGTGTCTCACTCTGGATAAGAGCGTCTGCTTAATGCTGTAAAGGTAAACGCAAAGGTTTTTTTTTTTTAATTCCCAAAATGCCCATCAGCAGGGCTGTGAAAGTGAAAGTGAATGATCATCCAGTAGTTCTCCATTCATTTTCTGTGCTGCCTGAATCACTGCAGTCGTCTTGGACTGGGCTTGGACATCGCTTCAGAATGACTCGAGGTATGAAGACTCAATTATTTTTATTTTTAATGAAATTAAACACTATAAAAATGTAGAGTTAACTAAAATTGAATTCTGGCTGTTATTGTGCAGTTGATGTTTAGACTCTGTTTGCTCTGTGTGACTCAGCAGATTGCAGCATATAAATATGTTCACACAGACACACACGGATCCTTTAATCCTTCACAAAATAATACAGTTGCTTTGTATTGAACTTAATTACTAATTAATTCATAACCTATAAATATGTATTCCTGGTGATGTGTAATGTACTGTACTAATGACACCATTAAAGAGATACAGTCACATGTAATAGTTTGGGTGCCCCTGATCAAATGACATGTTTAGTTTTCACATCGTCTACAGAGAACATACTGTAATATAGATTTTGGGGATAATTTTACCGCACAAGTTCTCTCTCACTCTCTCTCTCTCTCTGTGTCTCTCCCTCTCTTTCTCTCTCTCTCTCTCTCTGTGTCTCTCTCTCTCTCATATATATATATATATATATATATATATATATATATATATATATATATATATATATCTACACCTACAATAAATTGTTTTGTATTGTTTCCAGACACTGTCAGAGCCTTTGTTGTGATCTGTGGGAAAACACTGAATTCCCACAAGCCCTTTCTGGATCATCTCACACTTTCACCCAACTTCCGTAAAGTGACCTCTGTGAATGACAGTGATGTCATCATTGCTTTTGCCCCAGTTGTGTCTCGAGCTGGAACTGACATTGAAGCAGCTCTTCAGAAGATTCAAGGTAAAAATATAAACTATATTCTAGCCGTCCACTTTATCAGAACGATTATTTATTTCTCTCTGTTATTCTTATTTCTCTCTCTCCCAGCAATGTCAGCTACCCAGCGTGTTGTTCTAGTGGTGCTCCACCACACAACTGAGCGGGATCCAGTCATCCCGAACAGCAGCCGGAGTGTTAACAGGAGCGATGTGTTCACTGTGGACTGCCTGTTTAATGAAGACCGAGGGCTGCTGAGCTGTCAGCACAACGACCAGGCACTGAAAGCAGTGAAAGAGTATCTGGGACTGGAGGATGGACGTCCTCCCAAGGTCAGTCAACTACAAAGGCCTGACATGATCATGAAATTTTATCTGATAAAATAAAAAATTAGTGATAAACAATTTCTTCATTGTGTGTAAATATTAAAGTTAAAGCCAAAAGTGGTGATTACTGCCTCACTGACTCAGAGAAACAGTGTCACTAGCTTCTAAAAATATGTTCTGTCTAAATAAGCTAAACTCTCTTTGTCCTTCTGCAGAAGCAGTGGGCTTGGCAGCTACTCTTCTGGACATCTGCCTTGCTGAGCATCATCCTGATTTACTGCCTCACCACTCCGAAGTACATTCACGCCGTCTGGTTTATTCCCTGGATGCTTCTTCTCCTGGTGATTCTCCTAGAGAGGCGTGGCTATGGAAAGTGGACTCCCCTGATTATTGTTATTGTGAACATGGCAGTGATTCTACTCTCCCTCACTGTCACTAAGAACCTAGGAACCACCACGACCCCCCCACCTCTTAACCAGTCTGTTGTCTAAAAAGAGAGAAAATAACACTCTTGCTTTGCTTACTGATGACCCCATATAACCCCGAGACTGAAAACATCACGAAAACATAAATGTGTAGCAAAGAAAAACAATGCATGACTAATAATCAATATCCATTCACTGACATCAACATGCTAACACAACAATTAATATATATAAGCAGTTGCTGTATGAAGATAAAAGGTAAATTAGACTGTGTGCTGGATCAGTTGTACCTGGATTTGTGTTGAAATATATGAAAATAAACATTACTGCAAATAAACCTGTTTGTATTTCAGTATTTTTATATGAACAGTTAAAGAGGCAGATGCTGTGTAGTTTGAGTTCTCCTTACAGTAAACTATGCATACATTAGGGCTCTTGGATGACTCATTAATGTATGTACATAGTTTAACATTATGTTGTATGGGTGATGGTGTAGGCTGCGTTCTGTAGGTAGGCGTAGCCTTAAATACAGGAGTCTGATGGGAAACTGTGAATACATACACCCTTAATCAATAATCAGACTGATTAGGCATGTAATCAATAATCAGATAGGTTAGGGTTTGGCTAAAAGGGAATATTAATTTCTCTCACAAAGGGATAACATAGGAAAAGCAATAGGCCATAGTCTGTGTGAACTTTTTTCCTTTTTGATACTTTTTGAGAACTTAGTTAAAACAGTTATTGTTGTCAGTGTTCATTCAGTATTAAACCTTTAATATTATGTCTGAGGCCTGGGGCTGAAGGGGATTTGCGAAGTCCCATTCGCGTTTCCCAAAAATTTCCAGCAGCATTTTTTATTGTTTTTTTCTTAGTGTGGATTTTTGAAGAGAAAAGAAGTAAAAGTAAACACAACCTCAGCAGAAAACTACTTTTAAAAATGTGATTTTCCTACGAAAAGATTAATTCACAGTTACTTCATATTCTACAATATTCCAGTAGTCCAGTACCTGCAGTAGCTGCTGTTTTTATTCTGTTGTTGGTTGGTTTGAAGCTGATTGGTTGTGTCTCTGTCTATTTGCATCATATTCCTTACATGTTTTGATACAAGAGTGTATTTCCAAATGCCTGCATTTTCTGCCTCATCTTTGAAATGAGAGAAAGGAGACAGTGATGAAATGTGTGGTTAGAGGCGGAGAACTGTGCTCAGTGTTCTGCAGCCAAGTGTGTAAGCAGTTTATTATAAGAGAGAAATGCAGTGAAATGAGTTCAGAGTTCAGCTACACGTGCACAAGTAAACACCTGAGCTTCAGATGCCCTGAATTGTGTATCAGCATGGAATAACGGTCTGTAAGCAATCAAGAAAAACTGTAAAATATTGTACGATTGAAGTATCTGTGCATCCATCGTTGTAGTTCTGAAAACTTAGAAACTGAAAAAATACTGTTCTGCCTGTTGACGGCATCACTGGTTGCAATCACAAAGGGTATTTACCTTTAACGTGCAATGTCTCTGCATCTTCTTTATTGCCGATGCTGCGCTGGTGTCAGAAGTGAGATACCACCCCCGAGGCCAGGAGTATAGTGGCACTCATATGAATTCAAACGCAGATGGCAAAGAAGACCAAGCCCTGCAAATGATGGTGGACGAAGAAACAGTGCCCGCTTGGAAGTCCAGCTGGAGGACGGTGACAGAGGCAGTGGGGATGCGTGGGGAGCGGCCTGGCGTCTCTCATGCTTCAGCTGGAGGGATTAACATGCTGCCAGAGGAGTTGAGACAGCATGTGCAACTCACCACACTGACCAGCATTCAATCCATGGTAGCCAAGGCAGAAAGTCAGTGCTCCAGCATGAGCAGCACATGAGGAGTTTCTCCAGGGGAGGAGGACGCAGTGCTCAGTTTCTCCACTGCAGCGCACCGATGGAGAGGACGCGGCCCCAAGAGAGGATTGGGGACATGCATTTATGTTGACTGAGATATGGGGCCTCTGACTACTGGCTGCTCTGTTGTAGGAGCACAGGAGGCGTGGCCATAGGAGAGACATTTATTGTTGTTTAAGTTGTTGATGCTTGTTTAATATGTTTACATGTTGGTTGTGCTACTCTGTGTCGGGTTGTGGGGCAGTTAGGTGGGTTGAGGGTCTATCACGAAGGAGAGTTGTATGATTAGAAGTGACCGGCCACGTCTGCCAGTGTTAAGCAGTAATTCTCCCGTGCTGCTTTGTCCAGTTAAAGTGCATTTGTCTTTATAACACAAAGTTTCCCGCCTTGTATACTAAGCTGATGCCACGATGTTTCCTTATGAATGCTTTTATTATAAATGGTCTATAAGAAGAATAAGTGGTGAAAAATTCATTTTTGTCCTCCTTAAGTTCAACTATACATTACACTTCTTATATTACATGTTTATTGCTTCTGGATGAAGACTAAAATTCAAAACTAAAAGTCAAACATGATTTGCCCTCCTGCCCCATATGTAGTCATTTAGTGTTATTTTAAGCATAGTTTGTACATAATTGACATTATTGTATGTAAATAGTTGAACATTATGTTGTACAGGTTAAGCTATAGACTGGCATTCTGTAGGTAGCTGTAGCTTTAAGTGTGGGGGTTCCTTTCCCTGTTGAATTCCCAAAACGCCCATCAGCAGGGCTGTGAAAGTGAAAGTGAAAGTCCATCCAGTAGTTTTCCATCTGTTTTCTGTGCTGCCTGAATCACTGCAGTCGTCTTAACCAGGCTTAGACTCCGCTTCAGAATGACTCGAGGTATGTAGATTAAATGATTTTTTAATGAAATTCTAGTCTTTTAACACTGAGTGTGGTCGATCTTGTGCAGCTGATGTTTAGACCTGGACTGTTTGCTCTGTGTGACTCAGCAGATTGCAGCATATAAATATGTTCACACAGACACACACAGATCCTTTAATCCTTGGTGGTTTTGTAGAGCAAATAAAAGCTTATTTATTTGTTTGTATTTAAATATCTATTATATATATATTATAAAGTCTTGTACCACGGCCCTATCTGGATTAAGCGGTTTATGATAATGATGATGATAAACTCTTGTGTTTTTCTGACATCGAGTGTTTCCAGACACTGTCAGAGCCTTTGTTGTGATCTGCGGGAAAACGCTGAATTCCCACAAAGCCTTTCTGCATCATCTCTCGCATCCGTCTCACTTCCGTGAAGTGACCTCCGTGGACGACAGCGATGTCATCATTGCTTTTGCCCCAGTTGTGTCTCGAGCTGGAACTGACATTGAAGCAGCTCTTCAGAAGATTCAAGGTAAAAATATAAACTATATTCTAGCCGTCCACTTTATCAGAACGATTATTTATTTCTCTCTGTTATTCTTATTTCTCTCTCTCTCCCAGCAATCTCAGCTACCCAGCGTGTTGTTCTAGTGGTGCTCCACCACACAACTGAGCGGGATCCAGTCGTCCCGAACAGCAGCCGGAGTGTAAACAGGAGCGATGTGTTCACTGTGGACTGCCTGTTTAATGAAGACCGAGGGCTGCTGAGCTGTCAGCACAACGACCAGGCACTGAAAGCAGTGAAAGAGCATCTGGGATTAGTGGATTCATATACAGGGGATTGCTGTGTGTCCTATTTCAATCCTACCAAGGTCAGTCTACTACAAAGGCCTGACATGATCATGAAATTTTAGCTGATTTAATGAATAAATAATTGTCTTTTTTTCTGGTTCATGCTATGCAAATATTCAAGTACAAGCCAAATGTGGGCAAATTGCCTGATTAGCCAGCTCACTTTCTCATTAACTCAGAGATACAGTGTCATTAGCCTTTGTAAAACTCAACTGGAAAACCTTAAACATTTTTACATTTGTATTTTGCAGCTGTGTCATTTGTTATTTAGACCATTGAACTGAATTCACATCTTCATTTCATTCCCCTTTTATCTTCACAACAAGTATCCTGGAGAAACATCACCATCTCCTGGTCAACACTTGAACAGTAGCAGGAATGATGCTCCTTCTGTGTGGCTGCGACTGTGGCTGTGTCTTGTGAGTATTCCAGCCACATAGAACAGAAAACAGTTCCTTCTGTGTAAACAAGCTAAACTCTCTTCATCCGTCTGCAGACGCAGAGGCCTTGGAAAGTACTTTTATGGATATTTGTCTCGCTGAGCATCATCCTGATTTACTGCCTCACCACTGCAGAGTACATTCACGCCGTCTGGTTTATTCCCTGGATGCTTCTTCTCCTGGTGGTTCTCCTGGAGAGGCGTGGCTATGGAAAGTGGACTCCCCTGATTATTATTATTGTGAACATGATAGTGATTCTACTCTCCCTCACTGTCACTAAGAACTAAAAAAAGCCAAGGTCCCCCACCTTTAAACCAGTCTAGTGTTTAAAAGAAATAAACAGACAGTATTGCTTTGCTTGCTGACCTCATATAACCCAGTGATAAAAACATCATGCACTGCCAGAAATAAAGGTTCTGTTCAGGTACATTTCTCGTTCATCGAGGTACAAACAGTGCAAATGTTTCCTCAAAGGTTCAACAGTGGTTTTAAGGTCTGATTGTGAACCTTGAATAAGTTTTTCTAGGTGAAAAGTTTCGTATTTGTATCTTTTCATAACCGAATGTTTTAAAAACAGAACAGTAAAATAAAAGCCTGGAGACGAGACGGGGTGTGTGGAGTCAGTACAGCTTAGAACATATCATTTCAGGGAATTATGGTTCAGTTATGTTCCCTGACTAAAGGTACTGAGATGGAGCCTTGAGGGTTCCACCCCAGTGACAAGAGGGGAACTGCCCCAGAGACAGTTTAGTACCTTTATTTCTGAGTGTGAAAACATAAATGTGTAGTAAAAAAAATGCATGATTAAGTTCTCTGTGCAACCAAACTATTGCAGCTCTGAATATCTCAGCAGGTAAAAATGGAGAAACTGATGGTGCTTCTTTGCTTGCTAAAGGCATCACTGCTTACTGTAGTAGGATGAGTTTCATGTCACTTTAAATTGTCCAGAAAAGTGATGGTTCCATTTCTAGTCAATATTCATATTTCATCTGCTGACATTAATATACTCATACAGTAATACTCACAGTAATATAAACATCACTGTATTAAAGGGTCAAATATATTGAGCACTGGATCACTGGTACCTGGATTTGTCTTTGGAATATGTGAAAATAAATATTACTGAATTTAAATCTGTGTATGGTTTAGTTGTTTTACATGATTGTCACGTCAGACGACTGTGAGGGCCATTCCAAAAACTTCTCCTTGCATTTCTTGAAGTAGTTTATGGTGGATTTTAAGGTATGTTTTGGATCATTGTCCTGTTGTTGAAGCCAGCCTCTTTTCAGCTTCAGTTTTTTGACTGACTGTATCCAGAATTTATTGATATTTAACAGGATCCATTCTTCCAGCTACCCATGCACTGTTTTATATTTTACTGGCTGCCACACGAAAGCAAAGCTTAATAGATCCACCCCAACACTTTACATTTGGCAAGGCGTTCTTTTCATCAAATGCTGCTTTTTTCTCCTCAAAACATTCCTTTAGTAATTGTGGCTGAAGAGTTTTACTTTCTTGCAGTATTTCTTTCCAAAATGCCTTTGGTTTATCTACATGTTGTTGTGCATACTTCGATGATGACTTTTATGATGAGGTCGCAGGTTTTCGTCTGATGACTCTTCAGTGCAGATCATGTTTATGCAACAACACTGCAGAGTGTAACAAAGCACTACCACTTGTGTGTAGACCTTCCTGCAGGCCGTTGCCCCAGTCAGGGCTCGTCTGATAAACTTCACTTGAGCTGATAAAGTCATAGAATGGCCCTTAAGATGAAGCCAGCGATTCCCTGAGGGGGAATGATGAGGCCAAGTGGACGAGGGTCTGATCTGCATGTGCTAAGCTTATCTTTCTCTTTCATCCTCCCAGAACACTCAGTGAAGGGGGGCTGTCGTTCTAGTGGTGCTTCACCGCAAATTTGGTCAGTATTTTGTTGCTTTAGACTCACTAAGATCAACCGACGTCCCAGTGTTTATTTCTATAGCACCTTTCAAACACTGCTGTCATTCAAAGTGCTTTATAAGTGAGAAAATACAGTCAATTAAAAAAATTAGGTTAAAAAAAGAGAAATAAAAACATGATTTAAACATAATTCGTACAATAGATTTGAGAGAAAAATTCAAATTAGAAACTACACACACACACTTTCTAAGCTGCTTATCCTTCTGGGTCGTGTGGGGAGCTGGAGTCTATCCCAGCGGTCTTTGGGTGGAAGGCGGGAAACACCCTGGATAGGTCGGCAGTCCATCACAGGACAACATACAGTCACAACCTAGGGACAGTTTAGTGTGTCCAACTGGCCTGACTGCTTGTCTTTGGACTGTGGGAGGAAACCCACACAGACACGGGGGAGAACATGCAGATTCCTCACAGAAAGGACTCTGGTCACCGGGTCGGGAATCGAACCCAGGCCCTTCCTGCTGTGAGGCAACAGCGCTACCCACTGCAGAACTCAGATTAGGATCATTTTAAAAGCTTAATAAAAAAGAAAATTTTAAATTAGGGCAATAAAGTGTGTTACAGGATAGAAATGCAGTAGAACTCAGTGTTTTAAACTGCGCCGAAAGCTGCTCAAATAGGAAAAGTTTAAGGCCTGGATTTAAAACTGTCTTGTGTTCGGGACTCTTCTAATACTCTCTGTCAATCCATTTAAGAGCATCATGGTAACTAAACACTGCTTCTCCATGTTTAGTCTTCACCTTCGGCAGGACTAACTCAAGCTTAATCTGTTTGAAAAGCACAGTTGAACAGATACTTTTTCAGTCTATTTTTAAAAGCGCTTACAGTCTGAGCTCATCTCACAGCTTCAGGATGTTTATTCCATCTGACAGCAGTGTAATGGCTGAATGGCCTCTCCATGGTTCTGGTTCTAGGCACTGTCGGATGGTCAGACCCCACCGATCTGAGGTTTCTTATAGGCCTATATTTTACCAGTGTATCTGTAATGTAAGTAGGACCTTGTCCATGTAATGATTTATAAACAAGAAGCGGTATTTTGAAGTCTGTTCTGAGACTGAGTGGGAGCCAGTGTAATGCTCTAAGTACTGCAGTGATGTATTCATATCTCTTTGTTATTGTTAGGACTCTGGCAGCAGCACTCTGAGTGAGCTGCAGCGGTCTCACTGATTTTTTGGGGAGGCCAGTAAGGAGGCCGTTACAATAATCTAGCCTGCTGGAGATAAATACGTGAATGAGTTTTTCTAGATCTCCGAAATTTAGAATCGACATGCTAGAAAAAACAGCGTATTGTCGCTTGAGGAACAAAACCATTTTTGTTTATCATGAAATTTTAACACAATGCAAAGGGTAGCTGTACACGGTGATTCAAAAAGATTCATCCGATTTTAAAGCACCATATTTTTACAACTGTGAGGCACCGAGGAACCAATCACAATCCAATTGAAAGAGGGGGTCATAGAGTTCCTGACTGAACCTCCAACAGCTCAGAGCGTTTGTTGTTGGTACCAACAGTTCCTAGAAAAAGGTCACCAGCATCACCAGATCTCACACCATGTGACTTTTGTGGGGGTATATTAAGGGTTCTATGTGCCACTCCCAACAACACGGCATGACCTCCGAAATCGCACTGAAAGAGCCGTGAGTGCAGCGACAACCGACATGCTCAATCCAGTATGGGATGAATCTGACTATGGTGTTGATGGTGTCCGTACAGCTGGAGGAGGTTCATATTGAGTATTTGTAAAATTACATAATAAACTTTATGCTCAATTAAACCATTTACAGTTCACTGCATTGTTCTGTAATGATTTACAAGTGAAATCAATCATTTTGATATCAGATGAATCTTTTTGAATCACGCTGTATGCAAACAAAAGTAAAAAAAAATACAATAAAAATGGAGATACGGTTTTGTGCAACAGCATCAATATGTTGTGTTTTGGATGCTGGTATGATGGTCTTCCATGACCTTCTAAGCCAGCTAAACCAGCACCAGACTACCAAAAGCCAGCCTAGACCAGCATGGAATTTACACTGGTGTAAGCTGTTACAGCAGGAACAGGGGTAACGTGTTTACTGTGGGCTGCTGTAGCTGATCATGAAGACCAAGTACTGCTGAGGTGCCTGTGCAGTGATGACATACTGAAAACAGCATCTGGGAGTAGATACATTCATGGCACATATACTGTTGCCTTTCCAGTGACGCCAAACAGATCCTGAATTGTAGCTTTCACTGAAATCTAGCACTGATATCCAGAGCATTTAAAGTTACTGAACAGGCTCAAAGTGCAGTTAAAGCAGATCCTGAATTAGAGAAAACACATCTGTTCTGTCTTGCATGCTGTCTTCCTCCATCCTGACCTATTATAGCTCATGTTAGTTCGTTATCTGTGCTGTGATTTTGTATCTCTGTCTCTGCTGTATCATCTGGTTGTTGTTATGTATTTGTTTCTTGTGCCACTAACTGTAATCTGTAAGCGTCTTTTAGGTCCTAGAAAAGCGCTATATAAATGTCATGCATTATCATCATTATTATTAGAAAATTATTAGATGGATTAAGGTGATGGGACTTAACAGGCAGTAGACCTACATTTCATAAGAAACACACATGTAAAACATGCCTTGATCTTAAAAAATATTTTAAAAAGTACAAAAAACATATGAGACTAACTTTCCTGACACTGAATGTCCAAACACTACAGGTTCACTACATCATCAGATCAGAAATGCTGTTTTTAAATGTTTTTCATGTCTAGTTCTTGACTCGGGTCACATGTTTAGAGCTACACCGCCATCTGCTGGTCAAAACCTGTGGTGCACTGCTGTAAAACCAGCACTATGCTTTCTTCACTGTGACTTTGTACAGTGTTTAATGGGATATTCGTGTAAGATGTGTTTGTCTTTCTGTAGGTGGTGTAAATCACACATACAATATGTTGCTGTTTCTTTTTGTGATATACACTCTTAAAAAGATTGTTCTTCCTGCGTTGCCAGGCTTAATTGTAGTTTGTATAGTGAAACTGTTCTTGAGATAAATGGAGAATGTGTATATGGTTCTATGTAGCACCAAAAAAGGTTCTGATATTGTTACGATGTCAAGCTTGTAACAATGGAGGAACGCTTTTCAAAAAGGTTCTGTATAGAACCATGTACAACTCGTTCTCCATTCATGTGAAGAACATGATACTATGCAAATAACCTATGCAAATGATTCTTTGAATATTTTTGGTTGTATATAGAACCTGTCTTTACTAAAGAACCTTTGACAAACCATCTTTCCAGTCATTTCCAGTATATATTTGCCCTTTGTGTTGTGTCAAAATGCACTGATCAACAGAAGTGGTCCAAAATTACATGCTAAGAAATGTAAAGAATGTTGACATACATGCTAAGAAACTCTAGCAATGCAGTGACTGGACAGGTCGGACAGGTAGGCCGGTTGTAACACAGCATAGTAAGGGGGGCCAAAGTACAGCTGGCTCATTCACGTTTCTTACGTAAGTCTGCCTCTCCTGTCTTAAAGCAACATAC